CAAGAGCACAAACAGAAGGACAAACGATGGGCAAAAGCACGCTCGAAGTAAATCGTGCTCGTGTACAACCGACGCGTGGTCAGCCTTCTAAAGAAGGAATGCGCCGTGGTGCCTGTTACACCATCTCCGCATCCGACCGGCCCTGTGTCCACACGTGCCTTCGAGAAGCATGTCCGAAAGAACGCTCGTGCTGTGCCCAGCAAGGGCCTTATACAAACAGAAGCTTTTTTCCGGAGCCGGTCCTTTAGAGGGCCATTTCTATGCTAAGCAAGGGAGTGGACGATCGTTTATAAGGGATCCTCGGCGGATCTATAAATCGCGCCGCGGGGGCATACGGGACACCGTAGGCGGGGTCAGCCACAGACACGGCCGCTACCCGTTGCGCCAATGTCCGAAGCGACAGCAAGCCGGCGCCGCGCGAAGCGAGATTTGTCTGGTCGCGTCTCGTCATAAGTTGTTCCCGTTCAGCTCTTCCTACCCGAATTGTTGCTAACGCGTTCTCGTCTTACGTGGTGTTGGCCTTTTTGTATTGGGTTCGTCACTTCATTTTTAACGGTTGGCTTCCACATCGAAACCTCTTCTTTGCCGGGTTCAAAGGTGTGACCGTTAGGTGCACAGCAATTGAGTGTACTCAGGTGCTGTCAGGCCGAGTGACGTAAGTGGTAATGAATGAAAGAATGTTCTAGAGTTATGATACAAGGTCGAGATGGATTGTGGATCATTCGAGCGTTACTCGAAGCGCCGAAATGAATTAGGACGTCCGAGCACGCAGCACTTCGCATCAGGTTGCTCGTGTTGCTAAGCATATAGGCATGGCACGTACGGTACCAGGCACGTCGTTCTAAAAAAGAAAAAAAAACACGAAGAAAACAACAAACACTCGGAACTTCTATTTTTTTCAGGTGCACACTCAAGGTGATAGAGCAATGAACTCTGAGAAGATATATGATGTATACGTAAACCGGAAACTTCTGTTAAAAGTTGGGTCGCTCGCCCACTAATGGTCAGGCATCGTTAAGAAGTGCGCGGGTACGACTTCAGTTCACAGTAGCGGTATTTTAGTGGGGGCGAATCGCAAGAACACCCGCGTTCTTACAGTTTGGGGAATTCAGATCAATTACCCCAGGTGGTATAATTTTGTCCGTAGTTCTCCATTACAGCATGCATCGCAATCATATTGTGAATTTACTAATTGTTATTAATAATTATTGATTTTTTTGAATTGTTAATTAAAATTAATAAATTAAATGATTTTAATAATGTAATAATAGTTATTATCATTATTATTATTATTATTATTATTATTATTATTATTATTATTATTATTATTATTATTATTATTATTATTATTATTATTATTATTATTATTATTATTATTATTATTATTATTATTATTATTCACGCATATTTTGTGCAACCGTTTGCGACAAAAACTGAGCGGCTTCTCTGTTCGTACTTTCGTACCACTGCCTTGCCTGCGAGTGCCAAGTAACCACTTTGCTATGAATTGTATGCATAGTGCACGGTGAGATGTTCTGTACTAAGTATACGACTTGACTTCGAACATTATTCTAATGAATCGCGTTCTCTGATTGACGTGCTTGATATTCTCGTGGCTTGTTCTACAGTTGTCCACGGTGCTGCGTTATTTCAAAATATGGTTCTATATATAAGGTCTTGTTTTGCATCCTATTCGCCTTTGAACTTCGAAAGTGATTTTGTGGATACATTTGCCTACGCTTTAAAAATATAGCTGAGTTCTGCCTGAGATTAATACAGGACTGCCTGTTTTGTGAACACTGTCAGTAATGTTAGATGTCGGAAGAATTTAGAAAAATTCACGACAGTAGCTTAATATTCGTAAAGTTTGGCATTCGGATACATCCTGTAGGGGTCGCCACCCTTCAGTCATTTAGTTCGGCTGCCACTAGCATGTGGCGCCCCTGAGATTGTATATATTCTGCCCCGAATAAAGTGGGAGGGCCCCTTTTCGTTAGCTGAGCAGCTGTTGTGCGTATCGTCTCTCTCCGCGGGCACGAGCCGCTCGTGCTCCGGCACGCTCACGCGGCACCAGTCACAAGACATGGTGTCAGAAGTGGCTGCGTAACGCCCCCTCATCCCGAACTCGCCCGTACCGCACGACGATGGCCCTCGACGGAGTGGCGCCGAAAAAGCTCAGCCTCAACCACCAGCCGCCAGCACTGTTCGACTTTGTGAACCAGGGAACCTGGCCAGCATGGCTCCGCCGCTACGAGGACTACGCCGTCGTTTCCGGCCTGACTCAAGCATCTGGCGACATGCAGGTACGCTCGTTGTTGTACTGCATGGGGCCGGAGGCCCGCCCACTTCTTGAGACGTTCTCGCTCGACACCGCATCACTCGCCTCATTTCAAGCGGTTGGCGCCAGCTTCACCGACCACTTCGTGCATCCGGCGAATGAACTGTACGAGTCGTCGCGTTTTCACCGGCGTGTTCAGTTACCCGACGAGAGCGTCGACGCCTACTACGCCGAACTGTGTAGAATGGTGAAGCGGTGCAACTATCCGTCAGCTGAGGTGGAGCAAAGGCTTGTACGCGATAGATTCGTCGTCGGCCTCCGCGACTCGCGCCTTTCGGACCAGCTTTGCCGGAACGCGAAGTTAACGCTCAAAGAAGCATGGATGCAGGCCCGTCAATCAGAAGACGCCGACAAATAAAAAACGTTGCCTCAAAACTGCGCAGAGCACTCCCGCGAGCTACACCTCGACGCTGTACGAGCCCCGCCGCGGTGGTCTAGTGGCTAAGGTACTCGGCTGCTGACCCGCAGGTCGCGGGTTCGAATCCCGGCTGCGGCGGCGGCATTTCCGGCGGAGGCGGAAATGTTGTAGGCCCGTGTGCTCAGATTTGGGTGCACGTTAAAGAACCCCAGGTGGTCGAAATTTCCGGAGCCCTCCACTACGGCGTCTCTCATAATCATATGGTGGTTTTGGGACGTTAAACCCCACATATCAATCAATCAATCAATCAATCAATCGACGCTGTACGAGATAAAAAGTTCGCCTTTCGCCGCCGCAACTACGATAAGCGGCCTTCGCCCCCGCGGAAAGCAGAGCGCTCCTGCCAGCCGTCAACATGTGAATTCTGCGGCCGCGCGCCACATCCACGTTCTAACTGCCCTGCTCGAAACCCCGTCTGCAACTTCTGCAAAAAGAAAGGACACTTTGCGGAAGTGTGCCGCGCGCGGCAGGTAAAACAGAAGCTCGACTCCATTCAGCTACACGCTGTCGGGACGCTCGCCGCGGCAAAGTTCGTCGACGTCACCGTTGACAACTACACAGCGCAGTTCAAGGTCGATTCAGGAGCCGAGGTGTCCGCCATTCCAAGCGACTTCCCTGCATTGCCGGCCAAGCTCGACCCCGTCAACAGCCTGCTCTACGGACCTGGCGGTCAGCCGCTGCGCGTGCTGGGTTCGTACATGGCGAGACTTCGGTGGCACGGGAAAATGAGCTCTCAGCGCTTGTACGTGATCCAGTCTCTCACCGTACCTCTTCTTGGACTGCCGGCGCTTCAAGCTCTGGAGGTTGTAAAGTTTCTCGACGAACTTCAGACTCCGAAAGCAACATTGCGTGCTGAGCTCTTCCAGGGATTGGGCACCCTCAAGGACGAGTACACTATCCTTCTGAGACCTGGCGCCGTACCCTTCTCCCTAAGTGTGCCTCGCAGGATTCCCATCCCGCTACGCGGGGTCGTGCGTGACGAGCTTGACAAACTGGAGGAGGGAGGCGTGATCCGCAGGGTCGACAACCCAACCCCGAGGTGCTCTGGTATCGTTGTAGTACGGAAAGCCGATGGTTCCTACCGGATGTGCGTTGACTTGACTCAGCTGAACAAGGTTGTCTTTCGGGAACGCCACATCCTACCAACTGTAGAGCAAGTCCTTGGCCTCCTTGGCGACGCAAGTTTTCTCCAAACTGGATGCAACAGCCAGTTTTCATCAGTTTAAACTATCTGCAGACTCCCAAGGGCTCACAACGTTCATCACCCCATTTGGCCGAAACTGCTTCTGCCGGCTCCCCTTTGGCATCACCTCCGTGCCGGAGTACTTCCAAAAACAGATGGCCAGGATCCTGGAGGGCCAGGAAGGAGTCGCCAATATGATAGACGACATTCTGGTCTTTGGGCGCACCCGCAAGGAGCACGATGCCAGACTGAACCAAGTGCTGTCTCGCCTTGCAAAAGCAGGCATCACGTTGAACCAAGACAAGTGTCGTTTTGGTGTCTCCGAAGTCTCCTTCCTAGGAGTCATCGCTTCAGCACAAGGCATCAGGCCAAGTCCAGACAAGGTCGAAGCAATCAAAGCGATGGAGGCTCCAACCGACATCGCAGGTGTCCGGCGACTGCTCGGAATGGTGAACCATCTTGCCCGGTTTTTGCCTTGCATCTCAGAGGTCGCAGCTCCCATCAGAGCACTTCTAAACAAGTCTGCGACTTGGGTGTGGCAGCATGAACGAAATGCTGCATTCGAGAAAATCAAGGAACTCCTGACATCAGACCGTTGCATGGCCAAGAACCACCCATCATACGCCACTACAGTTTCGGCTGACGCAAGCTCATTCGGACTGGGCGCAGTCTTGCTGCAGACACAGCCCTCAGGAGAGCCCCGCCCAGTTGCGTTTGCTTTGAAATCAATGACCGAGACAGAGCAGCGTTACAGCCAGACAGAAAAAGAAGCGTTGGCAACAACATGGGCTATCCAATGGTTTGACGAATTCGTCCGCGGCATCACCTTTGATGTTGAGACAGATCACCTACCACTCGTTTCTCTCTTTGGCAAGATGAAGCTGGACATGATGCCGCCTCGCATACAGAGGCTCAGGTTAAAGACCATGCGATACCAGTTCTGAATGCTCCACGTGCCAGGAAAGCTGTTAGCTACGGCAGATACCTTGTCACGCATCACCCAAAAGGCGTCCCTCCCCCTTGACACCGTGGAATTGTTTGCAGCTCAAGTGGTCAGTGGCATGTCAAAAGCCTTGCCACTAAGCCCAGAGGACGTGCGACAAGCACAAGAGTCTGATGGCGAATGCAGAGCCCTCACCTCCTTCTGCCAGAATGGTTGGCCAAAGAAGTCCAAACTGCCACTGCACCTCTCCCAGTATGCCTCAGCAGCAGATGAGCTCTCTGTCTGCGACGGTGTTCTACTGAAAGGCGCCAGGATGGTCATCCCGCATTCTCTTCGGCCGGCTGTTTTGACGCTGTTGCACGAAGGACACCAAGGCATCAACAGGACGAAAGCTCTCGCTCGAGAGTCCATTTGGTGGCCTGGCATTTCGGCAGACATTACCTCTCTGGTAACTAACTGCGAGCAATGTGCTTCCACTCGGGTGAACCTTGCAGAGCCCCTGGTCTCCACGGTCCTACCTGGACGTCCCTGGGAACTTGTCGGCGTGGACCTGTTCCACCTCCAAAGCCAGATATTCATCTTGGTGGTGGACTACCACTCCAGGTACCCTGAAGTTGTAACCTTGAGGAGCAAAACGGCTCAGGCAGTCATTGACGTTCTCAAAAGCATTTTTGCCCGGCATGGGATTCCGCGAGAAGTCAGATCAGACAACGGTCCACCGTTCTCTTCACGCGAGTTTGCAGCATTGGCGGCATCTTACGGCTTTGACCACGTCACCAGCAGCCCGCACTATGCGCAGTCGAATGGAGAGGTGGAGAGAATGGTCAGGACCGTCAAGGAGTTGTTTCGCAAAGCAACAGACCCTCGTCTGGCCTTGCTCAGCTACCGGGACACCCCCGGAGTCGATGGCTTCAGCCCGGCCCAGCTCTTGATGGGACGACGACTCCGAACCAAAGTGCCGAAACAGGACTCCCAGTTATGTCCTCACTGGCCGTCGAGGAAAGACGTGAGGAGAAAAGATGCAGCCTACAAGCAGAAACAGGCCGCTGACTTTAACAGGCATCACAGAGCTCAAGATCTGCCATCGCTCTGAACAGGCCAGTGTGTCTGGGTACGACCTGATCAGGTCAAAGCTACAGTGCTTAGCCCAGCACACCGACCACGAAGTTATGTCGTGGAAACGGAGCAGGGTGGCGTCCTACAACGCAACCGGCGTCACCTAGTGCCTTTTGCACCTCCTGCGCCAAGGGTGGAACCACCGCCGTCTGAGGAGCAGGAGCCACAGCGAACACTGCCCCCTCTGGAACCCCAGAGAACTAATACAGTGCAACCACCCGATTCCCTTGGACTGCCCCCTGCAGACAGTGACCGCAGTGATGGTGTGACACGAACACGTAGTGGCCGCCGTGTTGTGCCTCCGAACCGCTTGAACTTGTGATGTGCAGTGTCTGGCGTCCTCCGTCTTCCGTCTGGTCTTCAAGGGGGGAGATGTAGAGGTCGCCACCCTTCAGTCATTTAGTTCGGCTGCCACTAGCATGTGGCGCCCCTGAGATTGTATATATTCTGCCCCGAATAAAGTGGGAGGGCCCCTTTTCGTTAGCTGAGCAGCTGTTGTGCGTATCGTCTCTCTCCGCGGGCACGGGCCGCTCGTGCTCCGGCACGCTCACGCGGCACCAGTCACAAGACACATCCAACTAGGAGTGATTTAAGCCTGCTCTTTTCATCTCGTTTATTAACGTTATAATGAGCAAAGGTTAATCAGGCTGAATTATTTACACGGAAGGTGCACAAGAGCTCGCATTCATCTAAACTGCTGGAATCGAGCATACACGTAGTCGTTCCGCAGAACATGAAGCGCAATTGTTTGCAATGTGATATTAAGGTGCCGAAGCAGGCTACTTCCAAACTATCCATCACAGAGACTAACACGCACTACTATGAACACGTGACCAAGAACAAAAGAAAATTAACGTTTAAAAATAAATGTGTTTTGTTGTAAGGACCTTAATTATTTGCCGCAAATCAAGCTGCTGTACAAAACAATCGCTATTTCCAATATGATCTCTTCTGTAGCCTGTATTCACGGGTGTATTGAAATGTACTGTGCGCATCAAACGTTTAGGAACCCAGAGAACAAGAAAACAATAAAAATTACTATTGCTTCGGTAGGCAGATTTGAATTTATGTTTCCGGCGTGTTCTAAAATCCGCATTTACGCGAACTGCGCTGTTCGAACATATAAGGTCTCGTTTCTGGGAAAAGCAAAGTTTTCCTCGAGTTTAGTGGTATCTAAACTTTACATGCCAACTGCATACATACTTTGATGTATATTATGTAGAGCAAAGTAACGAAGACAAGCGAAAACACATATGTGACGTAGACTGGCGTTGTTGTGTCTTGTTTTCGTTGCGTTGCATACATATGTAAACACACGTGCGGCCTAGTGCACCAATGGATTCTGCAGGCGCATTTTCAAAATTGTATGTCGTAAGAGTGAATTTACAGAACGTCGGCGGCGGTTTTCACACCGTCAAACTGTTGGCTTCCGCGTAAAAGTTTTCCCTACGGTTTGAAATATGAAAACACTGAAATATTTGCGGCATAAGAGTAGAAAAACCAAGGTGGTGGTCATGCCGGAAATCAGGAAGACTGGGACCGCAGGGCACTGCTTAGCAGTTTGATTAGAGCGACAAACTACAAACGACACGTCACCCTAGTCAGCGCCTACATCAATGACAGGTGTGGACATTCATTAGCGAAGTGTGTTACCAGGGGGAGCTGAAGGAAGATCATTACCCGCACGCGCGTAAAGATCGAGGCAAAGTAGGGGAAGCCTGTATTGGCGGCTACGCATGTATCCGTGTATAGATGTGATGTATAGATCGGCGCCAGTATCTTATCCATGTAGGAGACTGCCTTGGTGCCGTGTAACGCTGGTGACTTCTAATATGCATTGATCTGCCTTTGAAACGCCATAATGTGGATGACTCCGGAGAACGACACAGTGTTCGGCTGTTATATTCTGGGCTAGTAGCGGATTTACTGCCAGTAATTTCACTCAATAGGTGAGGTAAACTACGTAGACCTATAATGATGCCGCTGGAGTTTAAGGAAATATGGCATCGTGAGTTTCCTCTGAAAGACGAGTGAGATTGGTGTATTTGCAGAAAGGCCAAAAGGTAGGCGTATTGGATATTGTTCTGGCCTGCTGCTTTGCACTGAGAAAAAGGTACATGAATGTCAAGAGCAACCGATGACGATGAGGAAATAAATAGGTGGTTTCATACTCTGTCCCCACGCTGAGGTCCCTCTAAGGCCCGTGCATCTGGCCTAGTGTCTTGGTGAATGGTCTTGGCTGCTCTTGCAAGCACGGATGCGTAGTCGTTGTCAGATGTATTAACTAAAACAAACGCATTTTATAAAACGCTCCCCATTTGCGTGTCTCATTTAAGAGCGAGACACGCAAACGGGGAGCGTTTTATATAATGCGTTTGTTTTAGTTACTTCGTCTGATAACCACTACGCATCCGAGCTTACAAGAGCAGCCAAGACCATTCACCGAGCCACTAGGCCAGTAGCACGGGCCTTGGAGGGGCCTCATCGTGGGGACAGGGTATGAAACCACATATTTATTTCGTCGTCGTCATTGGCCACTCTTGACTTTCACGTACCTTTTTCTCAGTGCAAAGCAGCAGGCCAGAACAATATACAATACGCCTACCTTTTGGCCTTTGTGCAAATACACCAATCTCACTCATCTTTCAGACGAAACTCACGATGCGATATTTCTTTTAACTCCAGCGGCATTATTATACGTCTACGCAGTTTACCTCCCCTATTAAGTGAAATTAATCACGGTAAATCCACTACTAGCCTAGAATAAACAGCCGAACACTATGTCGTTCTCCGGAGTCGTCCACATTATGACGCTTCAAAGGCAGATCAATGCATATTAGAAGGCGCCTGCGTTACGTGGCACCAAGGCAGTCTCCTGCATGGATAAGATATTGGCGCCGATCTATACTTCAGTTTGCGCAGCCGTCAATACAGGCTTCCCCTACTTTGCCTCGATCTATACACGCGTGCGGGTAATGATCTTCCTTCAGCTCCCCCTGGTAACACACTTCGCTTATGAATGTCCGCACCTGTCATTGATGTAGGCGCTGACTAGGGTGACGCGCCGTTTGTAGGTTGTCACTCTAATCGAACTGCTAAGCAGTGACCTGCGGTCCAGTCTTCCTGATTTCCGGCATGACCACCACCTTGATTCATCTACTCTTATGCTGCAAATGTCTCAATGTTTTCATATTCCAAAATCGGTGTTACGCGAAGCATGCGCGTTGAAGGTGACTATGTGGTTATTTCCATATTGAGCGAAACATCACGTATAGGTGCTGAAGATATGTTGAAATGCATGCAGAGGCATACGTTAAACACCCGCATATATGTCTTATAACCGGTTGTTTAAAGTTGCGTAACGATGCCAACAGCAACATGGATATTAGCATTACAAGAAGCGGTAAGCTGATATGAAACGCTGGTGCTCGCGAGCATGTAGACCCCTGGACACTGCTACATAAACTATAGCGCATGGCACCTACTTGCAATCGACATTAACCCGAAGTGACGGCTGTAGTTGCAAGGCCTGGCGTGGCTCTGTGGTTGAATATTGACTGCCACGCAGAATGCTGGGGTTCGATTCATGCTGGGATCCGGGCATTTATTATTCGCATTCATCCAGTCAACGCTGCCGTCCTCAGCTTTTTTTAGTGTGCACGCGTTAAAATTACTCATGTGTATTCTCGCCGTGCCTGTGAAGCTATAGAGTGTCAATCACCTGTGGCACATACCAGCATACCATGGTGGCACATAGCGGGCCGCGGGTGTATGCCACTGTAGATAGATAGATAGATAGATAGATAGATAGATAGATAGATAGATAGATAGATAGATAGATAGATAGATAGATAGATAGATAGATAGATAGATAGATAGATAGATAGATAGATAGATAGATAGATAGATAGATAGATAGATAGATAGATAGATAGATAGATAGATAGATAGATAGATAGATAGATAGATAGAAAGATAGATTCTCAAAGTGCCTGCAATACACAAAAACTTCGCATTTAAACATCTATAGATAGATAGATAGATAGATAGATAGATAGATAGATAGATAGATAGATAGAAGATAGATAGATAGATAGATAGATAGATAGATAGATAGATAGATAGATAGATAGATTGATTGATTGATTGATAGATTGATTGATTGATTGATTGATTCTCAAAGTGCCTGCAATACACAAAAAAACTTCTTCGCGTTTAAACATGCACGCATATCCACAAAATGTATACTGATGATGGAGCGAAGCGAGGCACTAAGGTGCATAATGTGCATATGTTGAAGTTTCCAGCTAGTATAAAAGACCGACAGATTGACATACTAACGGATGGGTGGACGGACAGATGGACGCATGAACGAATATGTGGTTTATTTTTAAACCAATGTGTGCTTTGTAGATGGTTTTGCGCGCCGATGGTTTGCATCTGTGCATGGAAGGATTGAAGCCCGATGGACATCTTGGTCCTTAAGAAGCTTTGCTCCTAAAATAAGTCATGAATAAGGACACAAATGTTAACCTCAGTGAGTTACTGCTTGTTGTCCAGAATGTACAACAAGACACAAAAGTATGAAAAAAACATGTAGAAATAAAAGCGCGTAGATAATTCAAGAGTAGCATACAACAATCTAAACGTCCATCACGTGGGCTGGTAGGCCTCGGGGAACGAAAAAAGTGGCTATCATAACCTCTAGTGAGGACGCGTTCGTTAGACCAAATAGCGAAAGGTGTGTCACCATATGCGTCATGGGTGGAACAAGGCTTTGTTGGTTGGGTTCGCAGCGGGCTTCGCGATACGACGGACGTCAAAACAAATGCGTCCCGTGCGCGGTTTCTCGGTCGTTCACGCCGTGCGTTTCTCTGGGTGACAAACAGAATAATGGCCACGGTGTGAAGGAAAAGGGCATGGCTGCTCCACAGTTCCTTCTGTGCGTATCCTTTCTGAAACCGCGGCCCCAAAGAA